TGAGTAAATCGAGGAGGCATGATTTATAGAACCATCCACAATTATAAAATAAAATTGTCATAATCCAACAAAAAAATACAACATATATTCTACATTTTTGCTATGGAGCTATCAGATGATACGATTTATGGAGTCATTTACACTGATTAACAAATAGTGAATTGACATGTGTCCTACACTAAATACCTTTTGAGCAGGTGCCAATACATTAAACGATGAATATTCCAACTGATATATTTAATTCAACGGTATAGCTTTCATTGTCATGATTCCAATGAAAATATTTTGTTGGAACGAGTTTACCGTTGGAATTTCTTGCGGAATTTAAGTTACCAATGTCATTTTCCCAACAATTGTCGTATGTAGGAATTTTTGTTGGAATATGAAATTTTTGTTGGGATTTTTGTTTCCACTCATACTTCAATCATTAGAATCGTTGTTTCCACTCATACTTCAATCATTAGAATCGTCAAAATTCAACGATAATTACATTTATATACCGCAAGGAATTATGAAATTCTAATGAAGAATTCCTAACGGGAATATATTTTAGTTGACTTTCAAATGCAATATTCTAATTGATATTCAAATGCTCATTATTGTCGTTGGAATTTTCCAACAAATTCCAACTATAATATTTCATTATAATAAGTTTCCAACTAGAATGTCTCAACCTAATTTTTAAGTTCATGTATTATAAACACAAATATTGTCGGGCCTAATTGTTAGGCAATCAATCATAAAAAAAATACATATTTATATTATAAAATATCATATTTTTGTTTATAAGTTTGTGTCATAACCTTAAAAATAACCCCTCTAGAATTAGAACTCATAAATAAAATTAAAATCTTTTAAATAACCAAATTTATCAAATTTTGTAGCAAGTGTATATAAACTGCCTTAATATTTAATTTTTACTATATATAAAGATCATCCAAATCTATGAAATTTTTTTGCAATATAAACTTCCTTAATATTTAATTTTATTTTATTATATATAAAGATAACCCAAATTTATCAAAATTTTATTGCAATTTCATGTCATGTCCAGATGTGGCCATCTCTAATATCAAAAGCCAAAGCCGGAGGACTTAACGCAATCGACACTTATGTTTTCTGGAACCTTCACGAGCCCAAACCAGGACAGGTTCATTTATTTATTTATTTATTTATTTATTTATTTTTCTCTCTAGCAAAACTAAATATAAAATCAATCAAAAATCTATATTTATATATTATTTAAAAATGGTTTTAATTTCAGTATGATTTCAGTGGGAGACGTGACATAATAAGATTTATAAAGGAAGTTGAAGCTGAAGGCCTCTATGTTTGCCTTCGAATTGGACCCTTTATTGAAAGCGAATGGTCCTATGGGTAAATAGCTTGGGAGATTCTACGGTCTCGTTACGAAATCATTTCGTCGGGATTTGTAACTGTTAGATCAACTATTCACGACGGTTACATGATGATCTAAACTGTTACAAATCCCAACGGAATAGTTCCGTAACGAGACTGTAGCATTTTTCAGCTAAATTAAACCTTCATTAAATTTTATTATTATTTTATTTTCTTTTAAACAATTTGATAAATGTTAATATGTGCTTTGATAAATGTTATTATATGCAACTGCATGCAGAGGCCTTCCTTTCTGGCTTCATGATGTTCCCAACATTGTTTTTCGATCTGACAATGGACCGTTTAAGGTATTAATATTATTATTACTTGAATACATTTAAATTCTTTTTGGTCTGACTCAAGCTCGAGTTTTTATGAGTTTAACGAGTTCAAGTTTGACTCGTTTACCAATACTAATGAGTCGAACTTACGCTTTAACTAAACAAATTTTAAACGAACTCAAGATCCGCTGAAGCCAAGACAGTGTTCACAAGCAACTTGTTTCGTTTAACAGTTATATTGTTGTACACATTTTTTCTTTTAATAATTTTTTTTACGATCTGGAGAGCAGTTTTACATGAAGAATTTCACTACGAAAATAGTGAATATGATGAAGTCCAATAAACTGTATGCTTCACAAGGAGGTCCTATTATACTTTCTCAGGTAGTTTTTTTTTTTTTCTCACTATCTTT